CTCTCTCTCTCTCTCTCTCTCTCTCTCTCTCTCTCTCTCTCTCTCAGACACCTCCCAGGGCCTTGTCATGCTTGTGAGAGATATCCAAATGATACTCACTTGGCATTTACTGCTGCTGGTCTGACCTGACCAGAGGGCTCTGGGCGCACATGACTGAAGGTCCTCATGTAGAACTCCATCTCCTGGGCAAAGTGGGAGTCAGGGAGACTGGAAGGCCAAGTGTGCATTCAGAGCCACCTAAGCCCTTGAACACACCTTGTCACTGGCCTCTCTAGAAGCTACAGGCCTCTTACCCCAAAGGTCTAGGGCAATCTTCGTTCCCAGCTGTGCTGGAAAAGCTCTTCTGTAGGGTGAGGCTTCAAACATTCATTTCCAGATCTTACCCCATCACTAGGACTCACTTCATGTTGTCAAACTCCATCTAGTCTACTTGAGGAAGGCTGCAGGCCTTTGGGTCCAACATGTCCAGGATAGGGCTACTAGGCTAAGGTGCTGGTAGGAAAGAGGTACTCAGAGTGGCCCTCTCCTGCTCCTGATTCCTTCTAGGGCTCCAGCCACTGAACTAATTCTTTCCCTGGTAAGGAGACAATGCAGCTACTCACAGGCCTGCATGTGGGTTCCAGGTTGTGATCACTGAGGGGCCACTCTGGCAGGGTAGAGTCCTGGGTAGACCCCTTAACCAGCATATAATACCAGCCACAATTTCGGTGCTGGAAAGGGGTGTGGATAGTCACCATGGCCTCTACCCCCAAAAGGGTAGGCTATAGTTTATGGAATAAACAGTGCTGCAGCTGGGAACCTTGTTCCTCACAATGAGAACCTGATGGGGGTAAATGCAACACCTAAGCAAAAAGTCTGGGAGTGGCTAGGCCTGCACCAACACGAGCCAGATGCCCCCAGCTTTGCTAGGGAGGACTGCAGATGAAGAAACAAAAGCCAGCTCAGAAAGGCATGGGGCAGAGGGCAAGGGGCAGGGCCAGAGAGCAGAGGGGAGCACCCAGACAGCTGTCGCCAGCAAGGAAGCCGTTTCCATGGTGACAGAGGCGTCCTGACTAATGCAGAGAGGACACTGTAATGGCAAGCCGTCTCTAAAACAAGCCTATGTTTTGGGGGCAACGGCTCCAGAGAGGAGCCCCTCCCGCATTCCTACTGGGTTGGGGTGGGGAGGCTGCCTGATGGGTCCCATAGAATTCTGGGGCCTGGGATAAGGCCCAGCCAGCCACTAACAGGCTGCACAAGGTGCAAAGGCTGACGCCCTAGGCAAGTCCCATGTCCAGGCTGACTCTTTAGGAGGATGAGGATGAGCATGAGCAGAACAGCAGAGATCAGGGGCCAGTCCCAGGTACTGGGACCTCAAGGAAAATTTCCTCACATCTTACCTCGTCTTTATTCCCTCCAGGGCCCAGCAGAGGGGTGCAAAGCCCTTGGGCCCCTAAACTCCAGGATGGGATAGAAGCTAGGCCCTAACCAGCTAGAGAAATCTGAACCTGTCACCAGGAGTTTCCCTCTGGTCCTCAAAACTGACCCTCAGGATCCTCCCTCAGAAACCATCAAACATTTGCACATTCCTGAATGGTACCTTGGTCTCAGCCTTAGCTCTCTGTCTCCACTGTAAAAGGGGACAAGCTCCCAGCTCCTACTGAGTAGGACTCCCTAAATCAGTTGTATACAGAACAGAAATTAAGTGTCCTTGCTGCTACCACATTTGACCGAAAATCCTAAGCAGGGCAAGTGCACAGGCCCTGGAATCTGGACATCCCAGGGCAGGTCTCACCTCAGTGAGCTCATACTCCAGGATGGCTGCCACTGTGTGCACACAGCTCAGTGCCCAGCAGTAGGGCAGGTATAGGATGCTGTGACAGGAGGATCTCTACCAACTACAGCACTAGGGCAAGTATATGTTGTGCCAGGAGGTTCTCTACCAATTGTTAGCACTCCCTAGCCCAGCCCACAGGCAGGGTCCAAGCCCTGATGATGAGAAAAGGAGAGGTGGGGTCCTTTTCCAACCCGCCCACCGGCCTGTGTTTGTGTCTAGTTGCCATGAGGATCAGGATCCAGGGCTCAACCTTCCCAGGAAAGTCTGCCTGGGCTGCCTGCCTTCCTAGTCTCTGGGGGTTCTGAGGACTGGACCACCTCCATCTCCAGCTGCTGACCTCAGGAAACCAAGAGGCGTGGGAATGGAGATAGGCTGGTCAGCAGCTGGGCTGACCAGGCCAGAGCCTAGGTCGGAGGGTCACCTGCTTTGGTGTCTGTGTGTGTGTGTGTGTGTGTGTGTTTGTGTGTGTGTGTGTAGACAGAAACTCTTCCCAGACCAGGCTTCTAGGCTTCAATGTGCCCATCTCTAACATGGGTTGATAACTTAATCTGCTCCCTGGGCTGTTCTAATACTGAAATAGGATAACAGATATAAGAAGTCAAGGTGGGGGCTGGAGAGATGGCTCAGCAGTTAAGAACACTGACTGCTCTTATAGAAGACTGGGTTCAGTTCCCAGCACCCACATGGCAGCTAACAACCATCCATAACTCCAGTTCCAGGGGAATCTAATGCCCTCTTCTGACCTCTGCAAGCATTGCACAACATGGGTGCACTTACATACATGCAGGCAACACACTCAAACACATATAATAAATAATAAATTAAAAAAGAAGTCAAGGTCACAAATGAAGAGAGCTGGTGGCTCCACTCTAACCACCTAGCTGATAATTTGGTCACTAACTTTCTCTAGAATATGCCTGGAGCTGGATAAGCATGTACACGGAATTGCAGAAACACAAAGGACACCTTTTTACTAGGTTTGTGCTCATGCTCCTAGCATAGACTGCCTCCCTAGCAATCCTATTCCAGCTGCTGTTCTAGGTTTGCTTCCCTTGCATGGTCTCCTCAATGGTTTTTGCTGCACGGCCCCATTCCCCAGCACACACACACACACACACACACACACACACACACACACACACATCCAGGCCCAGCCCTCTGGGCCATCTCTATACCTGAATGGGCCTCATCTTGCGGGGACATGACTCAAGTTCCTTGTGGGTCTCCTTTGCTTCCTGAGCTGGGCGGTGCTGTACGATGTACTCATAGGTGGTAAGCTTGTGCCACACTGGTGGGTGTGGGAAGAGAGGAGTCAGCAGTGGAGAGGTGATTCTGGAACTTAGAAGGGAGGAGGGCAGCCAGCACTGGATTCAAATCCCTATCCATATACATACTAAGTAGTGGGGTAAAACTAGGCCTACCACAAAGAGGCAGCACTGGTAAGGTACATGATTTCAAAGCTGTATAACCCAGCAAGATACCTCCCTGAAGTTGAGACTCTATCCCATTTAAGACAGGTTTGGAGGGGCTGCAGAGATGGCTCAGCAGTTAAGAGCACTGACTGCTCTTGCAGAGGACCCAGGTTTGATTCCCAGCACCTACATGGTGGCTACGAACCGTCCTTAACTCCAGTTCCAGGAGAATCCTAAGCCCTCTTCGGACCTCCATGGCATTGCACGACACAGGTGCACTCCTATACATGCAGGCAATGCACTCATATACATAAAATAAAAATAATGGTAAAAAAGACAGGTTTGGAGGAGGCACTTACTTAGATAAATGTGGAAGCAGAGCAGGTGGCCAAGCAAGGCTGTAGAGAGCAGGCCCAGAAGGATGAGTAGGGCAGCCAGGGCCAGGATGGCAGGAGCCTGGGTCTCCACAGGGGCAGCAGGCAAGAACACAAACCACACATCTGTGTGATTCTTCAGGACTACAAGGCACAGACAGACTGTGTTTAGCAAGGACTCAGCCAGGGATGGATGCACTGACAAAAACAAGCTGGAGGAATGGCAAGGGGGTGGGCCTGGAACCCATACTGACCTTCAAAGTGTTGGTTGGTGCGAAGCCGCATGGGGTTGACAAAGAACTCCACGAAGACATAAGTGGCCACCAATACCAGGAGCAGGACACCCAATAAAGCAGATGCCACACTGTGTAGAAAGAGCCTGGCCCAGCCATGGGCAGCTGTCAGCACTCAGGAGCTCCAGCTTGGTAAGGGCCAGGAGCTCAGAAGGGCCCACAGCTGAGATAGGAAGCTAAGCTCCTGACCCCAAAGCCCCAAATCCTCAGCAGTCAAAGTCACAGAGCCTGAAGACAGGCAACCACAATCAGGCTCCCTATCTTTGTCTGGACCATCACGGTGGTATCTCCAAACACCCTCAGCCATCCCAAGTGGCACCCCAGGCATACTGTCCTTTCAAAGCATGCAAGCAAACCTCACCCACAGCCATGCACCGCATTACAAGCAGGCTTCAATAGGACCCACGATTCATGCACTAGATGTATGCATCCCCAGGCCCCCAGCCCATTCTCACCGATAGTTCCTCTCGCCCACGCAGTTGTTAAGCCACTTGCAGTGATGGTCAAAGCCGCACACGCACTTGTTGCAGGCGCTGCAATGCTTGGAGCGTGCACTCCTGAGAGGGGTTGGGGGGAAGGCACCTCGCGGTCGGACAGCCCATCCCGCCCTGCGCCCTAAGGCAGCCAGTGTAGTAAGCCAAGTCAGGCCTGGTGCCCAATTACCCACCAGGCGCCTCCACAGGACCGCGAATCGCGGCGGTGAGGAGCACGGGCGCCCTCTGGCGGAATCGCCGGGTGGGACCCCTGGAGAAGGTGCGGCATCTGAAGTTTTGGAAGCGTGGAAAGAGGGATGGGGGTAGGCTGGGAGGATAGTGAGGACCTACTCTTGAACTACATACCTACGTAAAGGTCATGTGTCGGAAAGGAGGAGTCCTGCCTCTGCGCCAGACCACAAGATCTAGATGTGGGGTCCGAGGCAGAATGTATAGGGGCCTGACTTGCGCTTTTTTTTTTTTTTTTCTTTGTCTTTTAGAGACAGGGTCTCCCTGTAGCCTCAGCTGGCCTGGAACCCACTATGTAGTCAAGGCTGGCCTTGAACTCATAGATATCCGCCTGCCTCTGCCTCCCAAGTATTAGGACTAAAGGCAAGAGCCATTATGACCGGCTCCTTTCTTCTAACAGCTCCATTTTAGGGTCAGTTTTCTTGCCATTCCACAGGAATTTTACTGACATTCTTCTAGAAAACCTGTGTGGGCTAATCAGAAAGGAGCCAAAAGGAGAGGATTGAGATGCCATCTAAGGGCATTAAGGAAACTCATGGGTAAGGGGTGGTGAGGGGAGGCCACATTAGGGCATAAATGGGGTCTCCCCCAGGAGTTGTCAGCAAAGACTCAAAGGAGTATGGAAGAGCAGGGCACAAGGGCCCACCTTCACTCACGGAAGGCAACCGCCAGAACAGCTACTCAGAACTGTTCTGGATGGTGCCAAAGGAATGACAGTATGACTTAGTGCCTAGTCCTCAGCACCTCAATGCTGTAGGCCTTTTGGTGTCTGAAGACAGACTCCTAACAGATTGCTTGGGTCTTCAGATTCCAAGTGTGGAGCTGGTCTTGGGCTACACCCTATCCTCATCCCCTACCTAAGGCTGAGGGGCTGGGAAGTTCCAGAAAACTAGGGAGGGGCCCTAGAGAGCCACCAGGACCAGCCAGAGTATGAAGGACAGATGCTCCACATTCTGAATCCTCTCTCACTAGCAAGAGGACCAGGAGCAAACTACTTGGCCTCTTTGGCTCAGATTCCTCATGGGTAACTGAGGGAATCTGCTCAGGGGCAGGCAGCTGCTCTTGTGACCCTGCTGACTGCTGCTCAATAACTTGCTGAGCAGTGCGCTCCTCCTCTTTTGTTAAAGTAAACAGTACTTAGCATTGAACATTCAAGCCTTAACTCCCCTCCTGTTCTATCTGGGTGCTTTTGAGAGACTGAGAGACTGGCAGAGTTAGACATTTAGAAATGTTTGTGGCACGGCCAAATGCTTCCTGTTTTTTTCTGCCGCAATTACTATTCCGCATTCTCCAATGACCTTTTCCTAACTTCCTTAGGTCACTCCACCAAGATCTTGGTTTGTTTTGTGTTTTGAGAAAGGGTCTCATCATGTAACTCTAGCTGTCCTAGAACTCATTACAGGGACCAGACCATCTTTGAACTCACAGAGATTTGCCTGCTTCTGTTTCCCAATTGTTGGGATTAAAGAACTATGCAACCACACCGGGCTTGTTGTTTTGATTTTTGAGTCAGGGTCTTACTATGTAACCCAGACTCATAGCACTCCTCCTGCCTCAACCTTCCAAGTGCTGGGATTCAAGGTGTGTGCCACCATGCCCAGCTCCACCAAGACTCAGGACTATGCAAAACACGTAAGGATAACTGAAGCCTGGCATGCTCCTCTCTACCCTGAATACAACTGGTGATCCTCCAAGCACACGCACATCCTACACACTCACACATGCACTCATAATCATGCACTCACACATCCACGTCGCACAGGTTGCAGTGCAGGTCTTCAATGACATGTGCGTGTTGGCTGCGGTTGAAGATAGGCAGGGGCCCGGAATAGCTCTTGTCCCGAACATTAGCGTCTGCTGGATCGATGGAGACGGCAGTCAGGTGCACCACAAGGTGGCCAGCAAATATGGTACCCATGCACTAGCCCAGCAGGTTAAAGATTCACTTCACATTCTGCAGGCTGGGAGTTCCACCCATTTCCTATAGCCAGAGAACTCAGGTCCTTGCTGACTCCCTTTGTGCATGGACTCTGCATGTGCCACTCTTGTCTCCTGCCCCCGCCCCAGCCAAGATTCCTTATCAGACCCCTAAACCCCAAATTAAAAGGGCCATCGGGTAATGGAGCCCACAGACTGGCACTACTTGCTGTTGCCAGTAAGAGGCCTAGCCATTGGGCCTTGGCTTGACCATTTCAGACCTGGTACAGACCAGTTTTTGGTTTCAGATTCCAGAAGGTGAAGTGGGACTAAAAAATATCCCCTAAGTTCCAGGGACCTAAACTTAAATTCTGAGCTTGCTTTTTTTTGTTTGTTTTTGGTCTTTTTGAGACAGGGTCTCCCTGTAGCCCCAGCTGTCCTGGAACTCACTATGTAGACCAGGCTGGCCTTGAACTCAGAGAGATCTGCCTGCCTCTGCCTCCCAAGTGCTGGGATTAAAGGCTACCACGCCCAGCTCTGAGCTTGCTTTTTTTGTTATTCCCTTTCACAGGAAACCATATCCAAAAGGGAAGTAGCTATCCCCTTTCAACAGTGAGGCCCAGATGGGGAATCACTTACAGACAGGCTCATCCACTTGCTCCCACCCCCACCTGGAATCCAGGCACTTGGCATTCTAGACTGTCTGGGGTGGCCTCACACGTTCATGGCTAGCCAGGGGCATTATAGCTAACTCCTAGAACTGAAACGAAGCTTTCCCAGAATTTACCTGAGCCAAATACAGGAAATGAGTGCACTGTCAACTTGTTGCAAAGTCTATGTACAAGCTCTACCTGGGTAGCTATCTATCTTCCTTTCCTGCTTTCCCTCACTCACCCATGATCCTCCATCTATCCTCCTGCTAACCAGGCAGATATCATGCCTCCATCACTCAGGATCTACCTTCATCCTGTCCTTCCTTCATCCTTCATCTTGTCCAATCTCCTTCTTACCCAACACCCAGTAGTCAAATTTCTCTATATGTCTGTATGAGCTGGGCTCTGCCCTAATTTGGTGTACCATAGCTTCAAGAAACTAATCTGGGGCCAACACTGACCTCTCTATCTTTATGGCCAATGCCATGAGTCAGCTCTTCATCTCCTGCCTGGGTCATTCAAGAACCTCAGACTCTGCTCCTCCTGAGTCTACTCTTCATGTGTTCCAAGAGTGAGCTTTCAACAGTTCAAACCTTAGGTCTCCTTGCTTAAATGCCTATAGTGACTCTACAGGGCTCTCTAGCTCAAGTTCATGCCTCGCTCAGAGCCGAGCCTCCTTTTGTTCTGGCTCCTTCCCAACTCTCCTGATACCCATCATTCCAACTTCTCTTAAAGTTGTTTTTTGTTTTGTTTTGTTTTGTTTTTTGTGGTAGTGGTTTTTTGGTTTGGGGGGGGAGTTCTTTTTGTTTGTTTGTTTGTTTGTTTGTTTGTTTTTTGAGACAGTCTAGAGCTCACTATGTAGCTCTCACAGAGATCCACCTGTCTCTGCCTCCAAAGTGCTAGTATTAAAAGCATGCACCACTATGCCCAGCCTCTCTTAGACACTCAACGTGGACATTAAGCTTCCTGCGTTCTTCTACCCTTCTCCAGCCCGCCCACTGGTTCATTCACTCAACTCTTTACACAGCTCTTCCTTTGTGCCAGGCACTGAGGGATATGGAAAGACTTGGTCGTGAACCCTCAGAAACCTACTATATAATGGAAAACACAGATATTAATCAAATAACAGATCAACTACAATGAAGACAGTCCATGGGAGAATAAGGATCTAGCCTGATAGGGTCTGGAAGACTTCTCTGAGGAATATCATCTAACTGAGACTTGAAAAAAGACACAATGACCCTGGAAGGCAATGCAGAGGAAAGGGGACTGCGCTGAGTACTGTGGATACCAGGAACATACGCGGTATCAGTCACAGGGATGGAGGAAGGATGGTCCCAGATCATGATTGTCATATAAGAATGAGGGCCCATGTTGCAAAATTCTAGGTTTTCAAAAAGAGCTAAAAATCTAAACTTTCATGTGAGATCTCTCAATCTTTAAATGTTAAAGAAAAAACTGATTTTTGTGGGGTATGGTGGCACACACCTATAATTCCAGCATTGGGAGGCAGAGGCAGGCAGATCTCTATAAGATCAAGCCCAGCCTGGTCTACGCAGTGCTCCAGAGCTTCTTGTTCCTGTCTGAACTATTAAATTGGTGCTCATGAGTCAACCTTGCTCCGTTCTTTGTCTCTTTTATGAGTGTGTTTATTTGAGACAGGGTCTCACTATACAGCCCTTGAACTTGCTGTATAGACCAGGGTAACCTTTGAACTCACAGAGATCCTCCTGCCTCTGCCTCCCAAGTGCTGGGAGTACAGGCGTGCGCCACCACGCCTGGCTCAAGACCTGTACATTTTGTGCATTCATTATTCCACAAGTTTTACAAAAATTGCTGACCAGATCAGTCCATTGGGCGACCAGTTCTTGGCCCCTGGCTCACCTGGGTCATGACAGGGAGAGGAGAAAGGGTTTTCAGGTAGAGCCCACTGTTGTCAAAACAGAGGGAAACCTGGAAATAACAGGAAGCTGCAGGAATAGGCAGAGTCCACATGTGGAAAGCCATGGTCTTACAAGGATCCTGAGCCTCATTTCTTGTGTGTGTTGCCTGCATGTATGTAAGTGCACCATATCATACAATGCTCATGGAAGACAGAAAAGGGCATCAGATCTCCTGGAACTGGAGTTACGGACAGTTGTTAGCTGCCATGTGGGTGCTGAGATTCAAATCCAGGTCCTCTGCAAGAGCAGCCAATGCTCTTAACTGCGGAGCCATCGCTCCAGCCCCTTGAACCTCATTTCTTTTTTATTTTATTTATTATTATTTTATGTGTATGCATGTATTGCCTGCATGTAGGTAAATGCACCGGTGTCGTGCAATTCCTGCGGAGGACAGGAGAAGCTGTTGGATCCCCTGGAGCTGGAGTTATGGACAGTCATTAGCTGCCATGTGGGTGCTGGGTCTTCTGCAAGAACAGTTGGTGTTCTTAACCACCTGCTGAGCCATCTCTCTGGCCCCGAACCTCATTTCTTAAGGTGGAAAAAAGCAGCTAGGTTTTGAGCTGGTGAAACATTATCAAATTTTTTGGTTTTGCATGTGTACATGTGTACAGGTATGCGTGTGTGCATGTGTATTTTGAAAGACTGCTCTGGCTGCAGAGATACAGATAGCCAGGAGCAGGGATACACAGGGAAGACTTATTTGGAAACTAAATAGTCATCCAGGTCAGAAAGGCAGGTGACAGTAGGAAGGGGGAAAACTGGATAAAGAGGTAAAAATCAATAGGTCTTGTTGACTGGCTCTTAGCAGTGGAGGAAAAGGGAGCTGTGTATGTGAAGAGAGGCTGAGAAGGGGAATTGCAAGCAGCAGCTCTGCTGCCAGGCACATGCCAGGTTGCTATAGATGGCATTCTTCTCTATCAAAGTCTGTTGTCTGGGCTCCTACCCAACACTTACCATAGGGTGTGACAACTATGTCCAGCCTACCAGTCTTTCCTCTACCTGGCCCCTAAGCATCCATAGCTCATTTTCATCCTGAAGTCCAGGCTTGTTCTTGGCCCACAGTGGGGACTTGTTACACATCATTACTCTATTCTTTCTTCAGGCCCAGAGACTCTGCAGAATGAAGGAAGCTTTGATGGAAGGAAACTTTGATGGAACCATATAGCCTTGGCCAGACTGCCAGACTAGGTGGCTCTGGGAGTTTCCACATGGCCCAAAGTGGATAAAGAGGTAAAATGTGAGGGAGATCAAAGCCTCAAAGCATTCCACTTCCTCAGTCAGGCTCACTAGGTACCAGCTGTGTGGCTTTAGGAAGTCACTTATCCTGCCTGAGCCCATTTCTTCATATGGTGGTTTGAATGAGAAATGCCCCCCATTGGCTCATGTATTTAACACTTGGTCTCTGGTGGTGGTGCTGTTTGGGAGGTCATAGAGCCTTTAGGAGGTGGAGGAAGTATATCACCGGAGGCAGGCTTTGAGATTGGGGGCAGGCTTTGAGAGTTTTATAGCTTCGCCCTACTTCCTGCTTGTTCTGATTCCTGTATGTGGTTGATATATACTTAGCCAGTATCCTGCTCCTGCGCCATGCCTGCCTTCCCCACTATGGACTCTTAACTCTCTGGAACCCTAAGCTAAAACAAACCTTTCAATAAGTTGGTTTTGGCCATGGTATTTCATCACAACAGAAAAGCAACTAATATACTTCTTTAGTAAAATGGGAAGAACACCTTCCTTATAGTTTATGAGGATCAAAAGAGATCATTTGGGCTGGAGAGATGGTTTTGCAGTTAAGAACACTGGCTGTTCTTGCAGAAGACCTGGGTTCAAATCCCAGCACTCACATGGCAGCTAACAACTGTCTGTACTCCAGTTCCAGGGCATCTGATAGCCTCTTCTGTCCTCCAAGGGCATTGCATGACATGGGTGCCCTTACATACATGCAGGCAATAACACGTACACATAAATAAATAAGAAAAGAGATCATCCATGTAAAGTGCCTGGCACATGTAAGTGCTTAATAAATGCTATTTTTGTTTACTGTTATCCCTCTGATCCTCCCTACTCCAAATCATGTGGTTATTAATCTGAGTTTCTCAGGTACCCTGATGGAAGAAAACCAAGTAATCCTGAGTGAGGGGTGGATGGAACCATTCCAGGCCATACAAGAATGTCCCATGAAGGGCTCCACCTAGTCACAGTAAGGCCATTGGTCACCTCAGATAAAGTCACTTTTCCATTCATTCACATAACTGATGATCTGGTTCTAGGTGCTGGTAAACCAGGAAGTCCCCAGTGACACTGATGCCTGAGGATGACCATCTTCTCTAGGGTCTCTCTCCATTCACCTGTCTATGTCACTTTCCATATTGGGGAGCCCAGTGCTCTGGGGTCTCCCAAGAAAGTATGCTTATATTAATAGCTTAAGCCCTTTGATATTCATACACTTCCTAATATGCCTTTACCCAACCCAGCCCTTGGAAACAAGCAGAATCCCTCCTGTCAGACAGAGGCAGCTGACACCCAGAGAGCTAGAGAAGCTACTCTGATATACACAGCCCAGAAGGGGCTGGACTGAGACCAAGCTCAGCTGCTGACATTATTCCCTGGGCTCTCCAACTTGCTCCTATCTTCCTTCTCCTAGAAATCTTCTTCAGGAAGCCCACACCAGGACAGAATCATGGGAGCTCTTTGATAGGGGTACACAGAGGCCAAGAACTAGCCTTAGTCATGTCTTCTGTTCCTGGGGGTTGTGACACGGTTAGTACAATCATACCACAAGGCTCAGGCAAGTTCATGTTTGTCACTCTTCCCAGGCACTTGCAGGGCCTTTCTATGTCATCTCTTGGCACATGTACTTTTACCCTAAAATCAATGAACTTGTAAATAGTTCTGGAAATAGGATAATGACCTGTCTATAAGTAAAACCACATTTTAAATGTACCAAGTAACTTACTATGTATAGGAATTATATCATGATAAATTCTTTCACAAGTAGAATAATTGCTTCTTAACTTGCCATTTTAAATGGGAATTGAACCTTGCACATGTTGCCTTACATGCCAGGCATGCCAACTGTACTATAGCCCCAGCCTCTAATTTGTGATTTCTTTAGCTCAGGCATAATTAGCCTGAAGGCAGTTTAAGACTCTCAGTTCCTGTTGGCACCTCAGATGACAAGATCCTCTCTCCATGATGTTTTAAATGTTCTGAGGAACTTTATGGCTCCCTAGGACCCTAGGGCCAGTTTCAAGCCTTTGCCTTCCATCTATCCATCTCCCTGACTTTTTCCTGCACCAGTCCCACATGTTCCCAAGGATACAGCATAGCCAGCAGGCACCCAGTGGTGAGGCAGGAGAGGAACTAGGACCCCAAAGCCAATCACTGCAAAGAAGAGGTACAACAGCCAGGCCACAATCTGGAGTGGGTGAGGGGGCCAGCTCCACCCATTCCGGCGGGACCTCTGGCCCTGCAGCTCCGGGGAAGGTCTGCTGGCATGTACAGGCGCCGTCCACACACTCTTCTCAGGAGCTGTCTTGTTGGAGGGCTTGTTGCAGATGTTCATCTCGGGGGGGGGGGAGAATAGAGAGTATTAGCCCAAGGAGGCCCAGTGGGAGCACAGGACCCTGCCTGCAGCCAGGACTTAGCAGGGGATAGAAGAGAGCAGCAGGCACACAAAGCTACCTCCTATCCAGGGAACCTGGGGTCCCAGCCCAAGAGAGAGATGCAGTGTAGGGAGGGTAGTAATGGAGTGCTGTCCCAAAGCCCCAGAGCAGGCTCTAACTTCAGCCTGGCCAGGACAAGGGAGGAGAGTCTAGGGTTATTCAGGACACAGTGTAGCTGCCTGTTACTCAAAGCTCTGTCTCCACAGCCATCAGAGTGAAACTCAATAAGACATGTTCTCATCTGGTAACAATATCAGGCTGGGGCCAGAGCAATGAGAACACATGCTGATTCTGTTAGGATTAGTCACCTCCATCCTGAGGTCCAAATGCAAGTGTCAGAGAAGCCCCCCCCCTTGTCCTTTACTAAGGGAAACAGGCAGTGGGGGTACACACAAGGGGAATGTGGTCTCAGCTGCTCAGCAGATACTAATCTCTTTAGGATCAGGGACTCACAGCTTCTCCTGTGTGTTCAGAAGGGCTGTCTAAGGCTTTTTGGCTGGGGATGAGCCAGCACACAAGAGAGGAGGATTCTTGTTTGGTTCCTTCCAGCAGAATAAGTAACTATGTTTCTCTATGTAAATCTGGGTTTGGTGTACAGATTTGTCCAGAAAGAAGGCCTAATGTCCTTTCACTTACTAGGGGAGCTCCAAGAAAGGCCAGGCCTTGGCCAGAGGCAGACTACCAGATGGCAGCAACCCCTAACCCTACTCTGCCTCCCTGCCCAATAGCTTATCAAGGATATTGGCAGGGCAGTAGGAGACCGGCTTGTCCTAACAGGAGGAAAAGCCCTACCCACCAGTGTCCTCTGGGCTGACAGCCTAGGCAGGCAGTGCCACACGTGGGGAGAAAGGCCAGTTCCAAGTTCTTGGTGGGAAAGCCAGGAGCTAGAAACAAACCTTGGCAGCTAGACACTCCTTTCAGGAGCCCCTGCCCATGGAGCCGCAATCTGATTGCTATAGTTTGAATCTGAAATGTCCCTCACAGGCTCATGTTTGAATGCTTGGTCTCTAGCTGGAGGTGTTGTTTGGGGAGGTTCTAGAAACTTTGGGAAGTAGGCCCTAACTAGAAGAGATGGGTCATTTGGGATGGATCCTTGAGGATGTTATTCCTGTCTACTTCCTGCCTTGCTCTTACTTCCTGGACTGCTGTGATATGAACAGCTTCTGCTACCATGAACTGAACTGTTCCACCATGCCTCTCCTGCCATGATGGATCTGGAACCCTCTGAAATATGAGCCAAAATAAACCTCTCCTTCATTAGCTTGTCTCTGTCAGGTATTTTCATCACAGCTATGCAAAAGCAGATAATACACTGACCAGACAAAAATGGTACCCCAGACCACCTCAGTAATTCTGTTTGGAGTAACTTATCATAGAGATCAACAAAATGTAATTGGATCATCAAAGTCCACTTTACAAGCATCCTGTTATAAGAAGCTTTTCCTGGAGTCCCAAGTGGAATTAGGGGCCCTTGTGCTCAGTCCTACTGGGACTGTCATTTTGTCATTTGGAGTACTTTGCCAGCCCCATACTAGCTTCCCTCAAAGGTAGCAAATATGCTGTGATTCATTCAGCTCTGTCACCCATATCTCCTCTCCAAGTACCAGGAACTGTACCTTGTACATAGTAGATGCTCAGTGAATGTTTGCTGACTTGAAAACATCTGAAATAAAAGGAAATGTGGGTAAGGAAAAGTTGGACCACTCTGCTCTGCCTTCAGTCCTCCCACTCTACCCTCTTCCAGATGGCCGTGCCACAACTCAATGATGCATCTTCCACCCCTACTTCCTCTGCCCACTGGCTGTCACCTTGACTGCTGGACAACACTCAGAGCCACATTGTTCTTCAGCCCACCTAAGGCTCAGAGCCTCACTAAAGTATCTGAAGTCATTTCTGAATATTCACATCTCAAAGCTAAATGGAGTGACCTTAGTTTTCTCCAGAGATTTGGGTCAGGTCCTCTGATCACTTACCTTGTCTTCACTAAGAAGCACACAAGGAAAGAAAAGTCCTGGCTTTGGAGGAAATAGATCTAGGTTTAGCTTTGGCATTGTACTTATTATCTGAGAGGCCTGAGTTTCCTCATCTGAAAAGTGAGGGTCAGGGATGCCCCCTAGGGTAGTGTTTAGACCACTGACACTGAAGGCAAATCCCTAACAAGTAGATGCTGACTACATGGTAGATGTAATTACCTACAAATAGCTCTCCAGTTTGTCTCATATCCATCCACTACAGCTACTTTGTCTGACAGTCTGCAAGGTTTATGTCCAAAGTGATAGGATTGGTTGAAATTGCTTTTACTTTTCCATAGGAACAGAACACAGACATTAAAAACATGTTGTCTTGCAGGCTGGAGGTATAGCTCAGCAGCAGGGTGGTTGCTAGCATATGTGAAGCCCTGGGTTTAAGCCCAACAACACACACACACACACACACACACACACACGCACGCACGCACGCACACACGCACGTACACAGATACACTTGCATATAAGACAACTCAGAAAAGTTAAAATGCTACAAACACCATTTAGTTACTCTCAGTAAGAAATTCTTCTTAGGGATGGAGAGATGGCTCAGCACTTGCTGTTCTTGCAAAGGATCAGGGTTTGGTTCCCAGCACCCACATGGAAGCTAACATCCAGTTCCAGGGAGATCTGATGCCCTCTTCTAGCTTCCACATGCACTCCAGCATGTGGTGCACTTACATCATGCAGGCAAGACACTCATATACCTAATATAAAATAAATTATTAAAAATCTACCAAACGAGCTGGGTGTGTTGGTGCCTGCCTATAGTCCCAGCACTTGGGAGGCAGAGGCAGGCAGATCTCTGTGAGGTCAAGGCCTGCCTGGTCTACATAGTGAGTTCCAGGCCAGCTGGGGCTTCAAGGAGACCCTGTCTCAAAAAGACCATTAAAAAAAAATCTACTAAACCAAACAAAAAAAGAGAAAATTTTAAAAATCCAAACACTGCTATAGTCCAGAAAGTTTAGCAAGTTTGTTTATAGTTGTTACAAAGCTGAACTACTGAAACTTGTCCATTAAAACATTTTGACTTGCTGGGTGTGGTGACACGGCCCTTTAATCCCAGCACTAGGAAGGCAGAGGCAGGCAGATCTCTGTGAGTTCAAGGCCAGCCTGGTCTACACAGTGCGTTCTAGGCCAGCTGGAGCTACAAGGAGACCTTGTCTCAAAAACACCAAAAAAAAATTTATTTTGACTTGCATTAATGCTGTATATCCTGTATTTATATTAAAATTTTACACATATGAAGGAACTGCCAATACCTTTGGTACACAATCATACACTTAGGTACCTTTTAATCCTATGGGGGTAAAAGTCTAACATTCAGAACTACCAATAATAATTTCAATAATTTTAAGGCAAGGTCTCACTATATTGTCATAGGTGTTTCTAAACTTGTGGTGATTCTCCTGCCTCTTCCTCCATAGTTCTGGGATTACAGGTATGTGCCACCACACCCAGTTGAGAAAAAAAATAATTTTTGAGAATGAAATGTTTTCCATAATAATGGATTACTTTGCCGGGCATGGTGGTGAATGCCTTTAATCCCAGCACTTAGAAGGCAGAGGCAGCGGAGCTCTATGAGTTCCAGGCCAGCCTGGTCTACACAGCCAGTTCCAGGGCAGATGGGTCTACAGAGACCCTGTCTCAAAAAGACAAAAAGAAAAAAAAATAATGGATTGTGCATTATGTTTATGCATGTGTGTATACATGTTCGTGGATCTGTGGGTGCCTGTTGGTGTATGTGGACACATGGGTATGAGTGGGAAGGCCAGAAAATAATCTTAGTGTCATTGCTCAGGTGCTGTCCTTTTTTTTTTTTTTTTTAGACAGGGTCTCTCACTGGCCTGGAGCTCACCAAGTAAACTAGGCTGGCCGGCCAGAAAATCCCAGATATCTACCTGGCTCCCCCTCTCTGGTAGTGGGATTACAAACTGAAACCTCCATGCATGGCTTTTACATGGGTTCAGGGGATACACTCAGGCCTCAAGCTCACAAGGCAAGCACTTTACCAACCCCAACCCCATAGGGGGTTCTTAAGCATATTCTCCACATATGCAGAATGCTACCTGGCTATTTTTCTTTTTCTTTTTTTTGGTCTTTTTTGAGACAGGGTCTCCCTGTAGCCCCAGCTGTCCTGGAACTCACTATGTAGACCACGCTGGCCTCAAACTCGCAGAGATCAGCCTGCCTCTGCCTCCCGAGTGCTGGGTTAAAGGCGTGAGCCACCGTGCCTGGCTACATTTTATTATTTTTATGTGTATGTACTGCTTGCTTGTGAGTGCACCCATGTCATGCAATGCCTGCAAAGTCAGAAGAGTATATTGGATCCCCCTGGAACTGGAGTTACAAATGGTATTGTTAGCCACCATGTGGGTGCTGGGAATTGAGCCCAGGTCCTCTACAAGAGTACCCAATGCTCTTAACCACTGAGCCATCTCTCCAGCCCCCTTTTTGGGGTATTTTTGAGACTGAGTTTCTCTGAGCCCCAGCTGACCTGGAACTCACTATGTAGACCAGGCTAGCCTTAAACTCACAGAGATCCACCTGCCTCTGCCTCCCGAGTGCTGGGATAAAGGCATTCACCACCATGCCCAGCTTGTCTTTTTTTTTTTTTAAACATTTACTCTGTGTGTGTGTGTGTGTGTGTGTGTGTGTGTGTGTGTGTGTGTGTGTACAGGTAGGTCAGAGGACAACACGTAGGAGTAGGTTCTCTCCTTTTACCCTTTGAGTCCTAGGATAGAATTCAGGTTTTCAGGCTTGGCAGCAAGTGCCATTACCCATTGGGCCATATTTTGATGTCTTGAGTAATTTCACACCCCAGATGCTGAAAGGGGTGTCTAAAAAAAAAATTCGGTGGGTAGTTCCGCAACAGCATCTAACTTCATCAAGTGCTGTCCTGCTGAGCCTATAACTGAGGTTTCTTTACCTCACAAGTAGAGTACACTCTTCCAGGTAGCTTTTGTAGCTAAGTGTTTCCTGAGTATTTTATACTGTATTTTTTGTTTTTGTTTTTGTTTTTTTCTCACGCAATCTGCTTTGTTCAAGTATGGTGTAAAAAGACCCTTCTTTGGATTCTGGATAGCTAGACATTAGAAAGTAATTGCAGCCCAACTGGCAACACAATTCTGAAGTTGCTTTCTTAGGTGAGCGGCCCCAAGGAACAAGTACAATGTCGTTCTTTTTTCTTTTTTTTTTGACAGTCTCATTCTGCAGTCTGACTGGCCTGGGATTTGTTATGTGGCCCAGGTTAGATCAAACTCTTGGCACTCCTGCTGCCTCAGCCTCCTGAGTACCGGGATTACCTGGGATTACATATGCATAAACCAAAATGTCCAGCTCAAATATTTTAACATTTAGGCGCTCTACTTTTTCTTTTAGTTTAGTTAAACCATTTGGATGGTTTGATTAATGGGTTTTCCATGTTTCTTAACTTGCTATGTAGACCAGGTTAGCCTTCTAATTTCAGGAATATACCACCATACTGTTTTGGATGGTCATTCTAATCTTGTCACCTAGAGATGCCTGCAGCCAAGCAATAGGGACATATCAGACACATTCCTCCATTTCTTTCTTTGGAAACTCCCTCAAGGTACAGGGCTGTTAAGTTGTGGGGATAGTAAAGGGAAAACCAAGCTTGGGATCCAAATGCAAACCAAAGGTGACAAAGCAGATGAAAAGCAGACATATTTTTCTTTGGGACATCCCCAAGTAAACAAATCTTCATCTCTGGTTTGTAGATATAGTCAAAGGTCAGGTCCAGCTGAGCTGGTAGCTCTTCTCTGAGGCAAACCTCTGTGGATTTCACATGGGCTCTCCAGGGACACCACTACTAGGGCAAATAGCTTGCAGTAGTGGGGACTGAATCCAGGGCCTTGCATATGTAAGACAAGCATCCTATCACTGTGTTATAACTCTGGTTACAGCACGCACTTCGAAGGAAATATATGAATTTGGTCCCCAAACTTGGCTTTCCCTGTACCATATCCACAACTGAACAGCTCTGTACCTTGAGGAAGTTTAGAGAAGGAAACAGTTCTGTGGCTGATACATTCCTAGTGCTTGGCTGTGGTCACAGGCATCCCCAGTGTTAAGCCACCCCATAGTCATCATCTGAGGATAGAGGCTTGCTACAAACAGCCCTGGGGGCAAGATACTGTTGGCCCAGAAAGGTGCCACTTGCCTAAGGCCTCAGATATAGGGATGAACTCCTTCGAGGCAACAACACTGAGGAACAGACACATAGGACAGCCAGGAGAACACTGCCTGTGCCCAAAGCCCAGGACAGTCAGATCTTAACTTGATAACACTTTCTCTTATTGAACTGAAGACCACAAATTCTTTTTGGCCCAAAAGATTTTAATTAAAAGGGCTGGGAGGTTGGAGTCAATCCAAAATGGGGTCCAAGGTCCACAGATGGAACCAAGTATTGTCACCAGGCTTGGGGACTTCTCTGTCTGTCCCTCCCCTTTCAACAGTCCTCTGGGAGCCCAAATTGAAAGATATGTGGCTCTGCTCCCCAATAACATGACCAGATGGTATACTCAACCCTTGGCCAGGCAAGGCTTACTGGGGCCCAGGCCACTGTGTGCACTAAGGATATAAACACAGATGAGACCAGGTACCTCCCTTCTGCGGCTTTCCTGAGGCCCAGAGAGACTCAAAGCAACATCAGGGCAGTGGGTACACAGACATTTGGACAGTGCTTACAAAGCCATCCATTCAGACTGAACATGCCAGGGACCAGAGGGGGCAGTAAGACGTGAACCCTGGGTGGCTGCAGGGCTGCCATCCGACAGGCCTGGGTGGGATGCTTTGGGTGGGCTGAAGGAGCCAAAGGGAGTCAAAGGAAGAAACTTGAAAGCAGCAGATGACATGGCTTTGGAGATTTCTAATCTAAGAGGAGAGGCAGGCAAAACAAGAAAGGAAAGGGCATGGCATGAGGGCATACCACAGGAGGCTGGCCCAGGAGAACAGTGGCTCAGCAGCTTTGGAAGGAGTTGGTCAGAGGGTCAGGGTCAAGCACACAAGCTCCTCTCCTTGCCCATACAGTACCCTTAGCTGCTTAACAATATATGGACCTTAGTATTCTTCATGTACCTTCCACCTCCAAAGGACAAAACATACAGAGGCTGGCAAGGAGCAAGGGACCCATGGAATGATATAGCCATAGGTATCTCCTGCCTAATCAAGGACCTGCTTGACTTCTTTGAAGACTGAGGGAGCTACACAGGCCCCTCACTACAAGGTGTCCCTACAAGGTGAAGGCCATTGCCAGTATGACAATTATCTGTCCTATTTAACACTGATTTGCTCGTTTCAAATGGTATTTTCAAAATAAAATCAATCTGCCTTAATTAATATGCTTAAGTTAAAGGAAGAAAATCTTAGCATCTCAAGTTCTCATAATAAACAGCGGAACAACAATATGACTGATCTACTTCCTTCTCATTACTGCTCCAATAAAAAAACAAATATAGGCAGCCAGGAGGCTAAAGCAGGAGGATCAGTTAGGCCCAGGAGTTCTAAGCCACCCTGGACAACATAGCAAGACAATGAGACACTATCAATGATAATGATGAGGATGATGATGATAATGATGATAATGATGATGATGGATTTTTTTTCTGAAATTCATACAAGTGGCAGTTAAAGCAACCAGACTGAGGTGCAGTCATGGTCCTAGAGAGCCTGGATTTCTGAAAGATGTCTGAGAACTTAAAAATCAACTAATAAAGAGGGAAGTCAGAGGAGGCCAAGATACTGGAAGGCAGGTTGCTGGGATCAGAGAGAAAAGTAACAGGGCTGAAGTGGAGGCCAGGTGGGCTCAGGGATTTGAGCCACCAATGGGGAGAGGCAGGTTGGAATCAGGAATGCAGGCTAGGTCTGAAGACGGGGCCTTCTGCTGGTTCTTGCACTGCTGCTCATATGTCAAGGAAGCTGGGACAAATTTCACAGAGCCACCTCTTTGGGTATCTTCTTTACTCGTGTTTTAAAACAATAGCCAGAAGGCTATTTGGCAATGTTTACCAAACCTAAGAACACATTTATTTTGTTGCCCAGACATTCTATTTCTGTTATTTATCTTACACTCTCATAAACACCACAAAGGTTCATTGCATTGTTCTTTGTAGTAATAAAGGACAAAAACAAATATAAATATGCTATAGCATATCCAAAGGAGCACTGTGCAGCATCAAAAGCAAGGGATAGAATGATCTCTGACACACAGTTACATGAACAAACAAGACACACAGTTACAGAGTGAGCGATCAATTGAGTAAAAACTGAGCCTGGGGGCTGGAGCCATGGTTCATAACTTAAGAGCACTTGCTGTTCTTCCAGAGGACCAGAGTTCAGCTCCCAGCACCCATATCAGGTAGCTCACAACCACCTGTAACTCCAGTTCCAAAGGAGTCAACCCTTTTGGCCTATAAGGGCACCCATACACGTGACAGACAGACAGACAGACAGACACACACACACACACACACACACACAAATGCACGTACACACACAGATGCGTAAATAAAAAATATATAAATAACTAAAAAAAAAAAGGCAGTTGGCATTCGGGAAGTTAAGGCTAGAGAGTTGCAAGTTCTGGGCTATATAGCAAGACTTTCAAAGAAAACAGGGCATGGGAGATATACAGCTATGTTTCTATACACACAAATTATTTAGGGAAGGGAGTATAAGAAATCAAATGCAGGGAGTCTCTACAAAGATCTAGTACCCCACAAACTGGGAGTAAGAGATTTGTTTTTACTTTGTGTTCCTTGGTATTCAATTTTTTTAAAATCATGAGCATTTACTATTAAAGATAATAAATAAACAAACAAATAAATAAATAATAAATAGAGGGGATAGGATAGCTCAGTGGAAAGAAGTCCTAAATTTAGTCCCCAGCAACACAAACGCAGTAAGTAGTTGAGAGTGTCACCTTCTTGCTCCACTGGGCTGCCATGGGAACCAAATGAACTCAGAGGTCTGTTACTAGGCCAGAAAAACCAGGAATTCCTGCCCAACAACCATTGAACAAGAGTGCTTGTCAAAGTGTTTTACCCTTGAAAGCAATTCTGAGCCACTCAGTCACAGAGCTCTGAGGAAGAGCCACAGAATTTCCCCAGTGATGTTAGGATCTTGTCAAAACTGGAAACAGACCCCAGGCAACACAGCAAAGTTGCTGGGCAAAACACTGTTCCAGTCCTTGGCCAAGGGCCAGTTAGTGCACTGTAGCCTAGAACAAGAGGGAAAGTGTGCTCCTCAGGAAAGTTTTGTTCCTAAGCATCTTTCCCTTCTAGAGTTTTCACAGTTTCCATGTGAAGCTCCCATGAGTTTTCAGCGTTTTCCCAGGATCTGCTTTTGGAAATAATTCTCACAGATGTCTAACATGCCTCAATTTTAACCACATAAAAGAGAATGGAAGAATTAAAATGCTTCATGGTACACAATGTTTTACAGTGCAGTCATTTATAAAAAACTTTTAGAGGCAAGTACTGTGTTTACTAAAACTTCCCAAAGGTGCCAGAAAAATCTCTGGCCTTCAAAATTTTGAGAAATGGCTTATAGTTCAATTATGGGATGTATATCATGTAATTCCCAGAAAATAAGCTAGAACTTAAAGCTGTTCTCAAAGACTTTGGTCTTGAATAACATGGCTGGGCCTTTGCTTTCCCTCTCATAAACAATATGCCAAAGTCAGTTGCTATGGCAAGAAAAACTTGAAACCTTGAAATTGTTCCCGAGTTGACATGGTGTGCAAACATTTCTGTACCACTACAGCAACCACTACAAACTGGGATACAAGTTAAAAGAAAGGGACAAAAATCAGGGTACAACAGGGAACAGAAACAGCCAACGAAAGAAAGCAAGGGTTGTTGATTTTCTAACCAGGAAATCAACTAGAGGCTGTAGGAGCCAGCCTTGAGGAACACCCACCAAGAAAGTCATTAAGAACAAAGTAAGAAAAACAGAAACAAAAGGGGGGGGGTGGAATCTGGCTAATTAAACACCACCACTGTTGCTTTTAAGCATACTCATGGTGATTATCTGGTTACACACTGGTCTCCCACAGCAAAATACCAGTTCCACAAAGGGAGTGACCACCCCTCATCCAACCCAGTTCTGCCTTGGTAAAGAAAACAGTTAGTTCTTACCATCTCCGCTGGCATCACCCTAATCCAAGCCTCCATCATTGCTCCCTTCCAGTATTTCCATGAGAATAACAGCTATCACTGGCATCTAAAGGGCACTTACTCTAGGCCAGGCACTGCCTTAAGTGCTTCCGCAGAATTCATTTAATTCAACACTTGGAGGTAGGGCCTATTATTTCAAATCATTCTCACAGATCTCTATAGTCATTGGTCTGATATAGGACACCCCCAATCATTTTTTTCTTATAAACATTACAACATCCCCAACTGCACAGAGGAGGGCACAGAGGTCGGGACGTTCGGAGAGACTTGTTAGGTCTAGGAAGCACAGCTAGACAGGTAGAACTAAGTTAGCCATCAACTAATTTCTGCACAGCAGCTAGAGTGTAAAGCCCTTTTCAAAAGTTGAAAGTCATCAAACTCTTCAATGGCTCCCTTCACCTGCCCGGATAAAGATGAAGCCCCTCACCACGGACTTTAGGACCTTGTGTTTCCTTTTCCCTCTTCCAGAAACACTCTTTCCCTGCTCATAATTCTGGCTTCTTTCCCACCTCCAAATCTTAGGTTAAAAGTCACCTTTTAAGGCCGACCTCTCGGGGCCAGCCCCTCCATCTTCATCCCCAGAGTACTAAACACGACCTGAAATCACTCTAGTCACGTGTCTGGCACCTGCTCCCCAGCCCCTCCTAAATTCTCTGTGGGTTCTGAAGACCGAAGGCATCTGTTCTGAGGCACAGCGCCTGGCACACAGCCTGGCACCGCACAGCCTGGCACTCGGTGGTCTAGGTGCAGACCTAGGACCCTGATCAAAGCCACACGGAAGTCCCGCGCTCCACCGGGTCCCATGCGCGCAGCAGCCCGAGACGAGCAGCGTCCCGCCATGCACGGCAGCAGACGCACCGGGTAGCCCAGGCCCGGCTCCGAGGTGAGAAAGGCCGCTGCGGCTCCTCACCTGCGCGTGGCGTTGGCCGTGCCAGATGCGCGCTGCCAAGGTCAGCCAGAGGCTCGGCCCCGCCCTGCCCATCCAACCCTCCCCAGGGCCGCCGCGCTTCAGGCCGTCCCGGCAGAGTCGGTCCCCGGGATCGGGAGGAGACGCGTCCCCGAGCGGGGCTCCATCCCGGACGGAGGAGGGGCCTCCGAGTCCTCCAGTTCCAGCTCCCGCGGGCTGGCTGTGCAGCCAGGCCAGGCCGAGGCAGGCTGGGCCTCGTCTGGCTCTGGGCCCGTTCCCCTGGCAACAGCGCGGGCTACGGCGCCCCACAGCGGCCAAACCACGCTGCGTCACTTCTCATTGGTATCCTAATTCTAGGCGGGACTCGCTGATGTCCCCTGGCGCCACAGACTGCCCCATCCCCAACAGCGCCCACTTTTCCCCAACCTGTCTAGTAGAAAATCCACTCCCTGCTCCCAATCCACAACTTGTCTTCTAGGAATCCTCACTTGCCCCAAACGCGTCCCATATCTAGTTTCTCCCTTGAAATCACAACTCTTAGGAAAAGCCTAGTCAATCTACGCTCATTATTCGTTTTCTTTTGTGGGTTTTTTTTTGTTTGTTTGATTGGTTGGTTGCTTGGTTGGTGTGTTTTTATTTTGTTCTGTTTGTTTGCTTTTTATTTGTTTGAAACAGAGTCTTTTGATGTGGCTCAGGCTGGTCTCGAACTTGTGATCCTCCTGCTTCCACCTCCTGAGTGCTGGGATTACACTACAGGCATGGGCCACCTGCACTCTATAATTAGTATATGCTAGCACCAGGCATACCACGGAGAGCACACAGAGAGTCCCACCCTTGAGGGAGAGTTCAGGTTGAAGGGAAGACAGGTCTAGATAAATACATTATACAGCTGAAAATGTAAGCAACACCCATGAACTGTAAGAACAATAAAGATAACACAAAATGTCGACTTTTTAAAGATTTATTTCGTTTTAATTATGTGTGTGTGCACATGTGTGCAGGTGCCAGAGAAGCCCAGATGCCAGAGGAGGCCAGACTCCTGGGATCCCTCTGGAGCTGTAGTTACTGGTGGTTTGAAGCAAACAGATGTGGGTCCTGGGAACTGAACTCAGACCCTCTGCAAGTACATGCTCTTTTTTTAATTTTTTATTTATTATTCTTATTTTATGCATATGAGTGTTATGCCTACATGTATGTAAGTGTACCCATGTTGTGCAATGCCGGTGGAGGTCAGAAGAGGGCATCGGATCCCCTGGAACTGGAGTTACAATCCTTTGTTAGCCGCCATGTGGGTACTTGGAATAGAACCGAAGCATGGCTGCTAAGGCCCTGCTCAGCCAGCTTCTGTCCACCTCCTGGGTCTGTAGAGTCCTTTCCTGTCCTCTGTGAAGACTACAGATCCTGGAATGGCAGCCCCAGTTTCACCCTCAGGCCTTTTCCCATAGGTTTACCCTTTACTAGGACTGTTGTCCTAACTGCTCTCTTCGTCTCTCCCCAGGGCCAATTTCTATGAAAACATGAGACTTTTTTTTTTTTTTTTTTTTTTTTTTGCGGGACAGGCTTGTTCCTGCCCAGAAACGTTGCCTCCAACTCACAGGGCAGAACTGCCTAGGGTGGAAGAGCCCCAGCCATGGAGAAAAAAGGCCAACTATGTGTCTAAATTGTTTTTACATCTTAGATACATTAGTGCAAACTATGAGCTGGCTACCATGAGTCCTGGTAACTGTGAGAGGATACTTCTCAGTAGAGTGGGCTTATTCATTCTACCCTGGCCCTGAGCCAGCAGTAGGCCCTCCATCAGAGCCATGTGTTGCTCCCAAACTTCCTGGAACTTGACTCCTGTCTCAGGGCAGATCAGTGATTACCCCAATTCTTCCAAATGGTGACTTACCTTTTCTAAATTTCAGTTTGCTCCTATGTGAAATGGGGCTATCAGCAGCTACTACATAGGGTTATGATGAGGCCTGAAAGTTTGTCATGCAGATGAAGCACACAGAAAGTGTTTGATGAGATATGGAGAAATGGCTCAGCAGTTAAGACAACTTGCTGCTCTGTAGAGGACACAGGTTTGGTTCCCAGCACCCATAAAGTGGCTCACAACTATCTGGAACTCCAGTTCCAGAGGACCTAACACCCTCTTCTGGTCTCCCTGGGCATTATATACATGTGGTACACTTACATTCAAGCATAACACTCATATACATAAAAATAAACAAACATCTTAAAAAGGAAGTGTTTGAGGGGTTATGGTGTGTATAATCCAGACCCTCCTTGTCATTCTACCAGGAAATGATGCTGTTCATTTCATCAATGACTACAATTAAATTATCAAATTAGCCTGAGTGGGAGGTGGCCAGCCCAGAGCTCCTCGTCTTATCTGGAACCACTTCATCTGGGTCACAGTACCCTCTCCAGTGGACCTTGAATGAGTCAGCTCATCCCAACCACATAGCTTGTCCCAAAGGCCACCTGATCTCTTCCTTGGCCAGCATCACTGCTTACTTGTGGGTCTTGCTGCTTCCACTGGGAACCCATCCCCACTCCCATCTCTTCACAGCCCATAGAGACTTTAAAAAAGAGGAAAAGGAAAAGGAGGAGGAGGAGGAGGAAGAGGAGGAGGAGGAGCAGCAGCAGCAACAGCAAGGGAAATAGTTCAATCAGTAAAGTGCTTGCCTTGCAGTCATGAGAACCTGAGTTTCATCCTCCACACCTATATAAAAGCTGGCGCAGCAATCCCAACAGTGGGGGGACAGAGACAGGAGGATCCCTGAACTTTCTGACCAGCCAGTCTAGCTGAAAAAGTGAGCTCCGGGTTTAGTAAGAGGCTCTGTCTTAAAAATAATGGTAATTGGGCCTGTGAGATGACTCAGCCAATAAAAGGGCTTGCCCTGAAGCCTGATGACCTGAGTTCGATCCCTAGAACCTGTGTAAAGGTAGAAGGAGAGACCTAAGTCCTCTGACCTCCATTTGTGACTGTGGCACACCTGTGCCCCCATCACACATATACATGCACACACTATAATAACATTTTTTTTGGTCTCTTTTTTGAGATAAGGTCTCCCTATATACCCAGCTGTCCTGGAACTCACTTTGTAGACCAGGCTGGCCTTGAACTCACAGAGCTCCATCTGCCTCTGCCTCCCAAGTGTTGGGACTATAGGTGTGCACCACCATGCCTGGCCTATAATAACAATTTTTTTAAATTAAAAAATAAAGCTGGGCATGGTGGCGCACATCTTCCCAGCACTTGGAAGGCAGAGGCAGGTGGATCTCTGTGAGTTGGAGGCCAGCCTGATCTATATAGCGAGGTCCAGGCCAGCTGGGACTACAGGGAGACCCTGTCTCAAAAAGACAAAAAAAAAAAATTTAAAAAGAATAATAAGGTGGAGAGCAATTGAGGAAGGCACCCAATGTCAACCTCTGGCCTCTACATGCACACTCATTGGCACACACATACATGCAGAAAGAGAGAACTCCAAGACCTTGCCTGCCCCCTAACTCCAGCTGACCTTTCCTGGAAGGACTCTGCACCCTCCACCCTAAGCAAGCTCTCCTGGCTCTGGGAACTGCCAGAGGAGCCTCCTGGGTCAGCTAGCTCATCCTACCTGGGCCTGAGCCAGCAGAACCTGCAAATGATGCTCACACCACCCAAAATATCACTTCCTCCAGGAAAACTTCCTCTGAGCCTCAAAGCAGAAGAGGCCCTCTCTCCCACAGTACTACAGGACTCTTGCTTTCTAGTTCGTTCTATCGGTGGCTCTTCCACTGTGTAATGATCTGATTAAGGGTTGCTCCTTGAGCCAGATCACAGGGAGGGAGACCATAGAGTAGGAATCATGTTCCTCTTGCTCACCATTACTTCTCTAATAGAGCATAGAGCACAGTAAGTACTCAATAAATGCATGTTGAGCTGGCCATAGTGGCACTAACTTGTAATCTCAATACTCAGAAGGCTAAGTCAGGGGGACAGTGAGTTTGAAGTCAACCTGGACTACATAACAAGACTCTGGAACAAATAATAAATAACTGCATTAAGAACAGAAGGGAAGGAGGAAGAAAGGAGGGGAGGATTGTGTTATTTATAATGATTCTTTTTAAAAAACTATTTATTATTTATTTATTTTTTGGTCTTTTTTTTTTGAGATGGGGTCTCCCTGTAGCCCCAGCTGGCCTGGAACTCACCATGTAGATCACAGGGATCTGCCTGCCTCTGCCTCCCGAGTGCTAGAATTAAAGGCATGTGCCACCACACCCAGCTGTTATTATTTTTACTTTAGGTGTGTGAGTATTTTGCTTAGATGTAAGTGTACCACATGCATGCAGTGCCTACAGAGGCCAGAAGAGGATGTTGGATCCCCTGGAACTGGGGTTACAGATGGTTGTTGGCCATCATGTGGGTGCTGGGAATCAAACCTGGGTCCTCTGGAAGAACTGTAATGGTTCTTAAATAGTGAGCCATCTCTCTAGCCCCTTATAAGGATTCTTATGTGAAAGCTATTGTAAAGTAAAAATGTGAAAGATTTCTGCAATCTCAAGAGAAACTAGAAAATTTCCTTTTATAACATAAATAACCACTTATTGAATCATTTTTTAGGGTTTTTGGTTTGTCTGTCTGTCTGCCTGCCTGTTTGCTTTGGGACAAGGTCTTCCTGTAGCTGCAGCTAGCCTAGAACTTACTATGTAGACCAGGCTGGCATCAGTCTCACAGAGATCCACCTGCCTCTGCCTTCTGAGTGCTGGGGTTAAAAATATATGCCACCATGCCCGACTTCAATCACTTTTTAAAAAATACTTTATTATTTTTATTTTATGTGTATGAGTGTATTGCCTGCATGTATGAGAGTGCACCTGTGTCATTCAATGCTGCGGTCAGAAGAGGGTTTCGGATTCCCTGGAACTGGAGTTAAGGATGGTTCGTAGCTGCCATGTGGGTGCTGGGAATCGAATCCAGGTCCTCTGCAAGAGCGGTCAGTGCTCTTAATCACTGAGCCATCTTTCCAGCCCCAACTGACTTGAATCACTTTTATATAAAAATTTATTTTCCTGGACTGGAGATGTAGCCCAGTGGCAGACTACTTGCTGAACATGCATGGGGCCCTGTGTTTGATACCCAGCACTGGAAAGGAAAAAGGTTGACTTTCCAATATTACTATCCCTTCAACAAAGTACAGCTATTTTTCTCCCTATCCTTTGTGAAGGTCTGTGTGTACGTG